ATCCTTACGTAAAGGCCATCCTATCCAACTTTCAGGCATTAAGATACGTTTCAAATCTTAGCATGATATTGGGGAATCTCATTGCTATTACTCAAACAAGCATGAAACGTATGCTTGCATATTCGTCCATAGCTCAAATCGGATATGTAATTATTGGAATAATTGTTGGAGACTCAAATGATGGATATGCAAGCATGATAACTTATATGCTGTTCTATATCTCCATTAATGAAAGTCATAATTGGAAAAAAGTGACAAATAAGCTTCTAAAACACTACTCCAAATGACATTTCAATAAGCTAGTTTATGTTCATCCAAACGTGTAACAAAAAAATAAGCTAGCTTATATCTGCCAACAATGCCTAATGATGGTATTGAATTGTGATATAACCCATATCACTTCTACAAGTCAAATGTCTGAGGATTTGCATAAAAAATCAGAGTATAGTTATTTTTTGGCTGGAATGGAGGGAAGGATACATATGCCTGCCAGATGACTGATAAAATGCCCCAAAGAAAAAAGTCCAATAACAGAAACTATACAACAATTAGGCATTAAAAGCTCAAACTGAAGCATGTCTTACAAGATTAGCCATCTCTTCAAGAACAGAAGTAACTTGTTCACCCCCTTTGAGGAGAACTTCATACTGAGAAGTACCCCAAGTAGTTGATGGATCCCCTGCTTCTTGTTGTTTGCTCCTACTTTTCTCTCGTGCTTCCAGCTCTTCCTGCGTGTAGCCGCCTCCTACCTCGTAACTCGCTCGTAGAACAGACAAGTTTCTCTTCTTCGGGAGACAAATAAATGATGCCTTTTGAGTTGGGTTAAGATGAAGCGATGGCGGTGGAGGAAGGAAAATTGAAGAAAGGATAGGCTTTGCCATGGACGCCATTTTCACAAAGTTCAATTCGTCAAAGAGGTGCAATGATATGAGAGGGTTTCTGGGGGTTTATTGGTATTAAAAGTTCGTTCATCCACCAGAGTTGCCGTTAAAATTTTGTTCATAAGCATCATTTATCATACATAAACCCTAAATATTCACATTTTGTTTCAAAATTGGTCCTGATGCTAACGTCCATCCACCATCTCCGTTAACTATGGGGTAAAAATCATGTTTAAGTATAGAGTAAATTGCACCAATCGTAATCGTTTGTGTGATTCGCTCAAACTCCACCATTTGTTACTATCATGATCATTGGTGAAGTTTGATCAAACCACACTACCACAAGGACGATTTGTGTATTTTACTCCTACAAGTATCTATAATTTGTTAAAGACCTTCCAGCCTAATGGTAAAGGCTTGGGCATGGCATAGTCATAAACTCGAGGTCGAGCCCTGGAAGGGAAGTGTTGGCGACATTTAAGTGTGACCATGTTTAGCCTCCAAATTTACCGGGGATTAGTCGGGCTTTGGCCCGGACACCCTTACCAAAAAAAAAAAGTATTTATAATTTAATGGAAAAAGTCCAAAAATAAAACCAAAAACTTTCATATTTTTAGAGATCAAGTCATTATTGGACATTTTCGAACAAATAAATCATTTCATTTATTGTGACTGAAACGATACATATCGAAAATTATGACTTATAAAACTGGTTATTATGGTAAAATAAAATGGTTGTTATTTATACCTCCTCTTCACTCACTTATCATGACATTTCTTACCCCTCCCGCACTCACATACCCCTACATGAGGGACTATAAATATGATTCACCTAAATTAATTGGAAAATTTTTGAGGAAAAAAAAACCCAACGTATTTTTTTTTATTGACCTGGATATTCAACCCGCTATGTGAGTGCCTAATCTCAGGGCGACCACCTGCTTTACTGCAGATAGCCCGGAGTCACCGCATTTGAACATCCGTGCCCACAAGGAGATTTTTATTCCTCCTTGGATTTGAACCTGAGACCTCATGATAAAAAACCCAACGTATTTCATGTCTTGAGCGATTGAAATACATGATTTTTTTTTTGAATGAATACATTTTTACACTTATAAAACAAATATACCATTTCATTATTGATGTATCAGTAAATAGATAGCAAAATACAATAAACCAATAAAATAAAAATAATATACTATTTCCAGTAGTTTTTTTGTTAATGATAAACTGTACAAATATTACCACGTTAATTGATCGAAGAAAAACATTTAAAACACCGAGGACATAACGTTAATGTCCATAGGGGGGTTTCAAAAAAAACTCGTAATGATTTTTGTTACCACAATAATTGATTTTCGATCATTTATATAGGCAGGAAGAGTCATTTTGTTCGATTTCGATAAATACATAGATTTTATTTGTTTGAAAACCGTACTAAGACATAATTTAGGCAAAAGTTTGGTTCACTCGACGACTTAGGCTAGTAGGGGGCTCAAGATCGGACCTTGCAACCGTTTTTTTGTATTTGGGCAAAGTCACCCTGCTCTTTTTTTTTATTAACCTAGATATCCAACCTGCTATGCGAGCCGACTAATCCCAGGACAACCATCTGCTTTGCAGATAGCCCATAGTCACCGTATTTGAACCCCCGTGTTCACAAAGGGGTTTTTATTTCTCCTTGGATTTGAATCTGAGACCTCTTGGTACTTTTGACATTTGGAGCCAAGCTCAAACCAATCAGACACCACTCTTATAAGCCGAAAACTATACAAAGCATGTTTGGTTTTTTCTCGGACTTTTCCGTAATTTAAAAAATAAAGTAAATAACATTTCTTATTTTTTTGTCGAAATTTATGACTATGGTGGTGAATGGTCGATACAATTTGTGAAAAAGATAAAAAGACCAAAATACTTTATGAATTAATGGAGTTAACTGAGTCGGTTAGAATAAGGGACTCAAATTGTAAGAAAATGCAGAAACGATAATTCGAGTATAATAAATGATTTTTGAGGATCTAGTCATAATTTTTGGCATAACACAAGGACCATAAATTTAATTTACTCTCGAATTATAAACAAATCTCATCAAATTAATATCCTAAATGATATTAAATGTAGTACTTTGATAGCTTATGGGCCGTTTGCTAAACACTTACCCGGTAATTGCTTAAAGGTAAAATTTAACACTAACGTTTACTTATCAGATAAGACTTTAGTCCACTAAAACGGCATTGTATGCAACAATTTACCCAGTAAGCGCTTACCGTGGTAGGAAATCGTCGCTCCCACTTATCGGACAAGACTCTTGGTCTTTGTCTCGTTCTTACTGAGTAAGATTATTGATACTTAACATATTCATCTGGTAAGGTAATGTGACTTGGTAAATACTTACCTGCGTAAGCTTTTAGTAAACGGCCTCTTAATATTATTTGGTGGTGATTTATTCATTAAGTTTAGAATAAGGCTTTAGGCAAAAAGCTAACATTTCATCGAACTTACCTCTCTTGATTTTTAAAAACACGTTTCTTCCTTCTATGAAAAACCATCATTTTTAGTTATATAGATAAACTAATTCATTTGAAATTAACAGAACACCAACAAAATGGAGATAACAGATGTATAGATTTTAATTAAATAATTTAGGGGCCGTTTATTTAAATGCTTACCCGGTAAGTGCTTAACATTAGGAGTCAACACTATAATTTATTTTATTGGGTAAGATTGTAGTACATCAAAACGTATAATATACAACAATTTACCTACTAAGCGCTTACTCAGGTAAGAGTCGTCACCCTCACTTACCAAGTAAAACTTTCTATCCTTATCATTGCTCTTACCGGATAAAATTATTGACCTTTGACATTTTCCTCCGTAAGAAAAATTACACGTTAAGTACCTTAGTAATTCCAAAAATCATGTTGAGACTCTTCCTCACACGGAGTAGTACGTACATCCATGGAAAAAAAACCTCGAACGCTTCCGCTTCTATTAAACCCATACAGATATGCCTGCCATAGCACCTGCTTTCTCTCTCTTAAAACTCTTTCTCTCTCCGTCGCTCCCTCTCTGTGTTTTTTCTAACATTTAGCCAACAGAAATGGCAACGGAAGCTACAAATGGAGCAGCTGCTGAGGTGCAGTCAGTGACGTTTACGGGGCTAAAACCGCAGGTGTTCGTGGAGGCTTCAAAGGTTAGAAAAAACACAGAGAGGGAGAGACGGAGAGGAAAGCCGAAGAGGAGCTGAACCGCGTAACTCATCCTATGCCAATATCTCCACTGTGTGTTTGTTCATTGTCTGTGTGTGAACTTCTTGCCTATATGATTTTTTCATGCTACTTTTCCATCATTTTTCGAAAAATGAATCTTCATGTTGAACCACACCATGTCTCGGTTGAATAGCAAATGTTTTTCAGCAATTATTATCATCTTCTGTAAGTTTAGAAAAGGCACAGATCTCCATTCGATCAGAAATCTCGATAATGCTCTATGTTTCGTCTTCCGGTCTTCGTTTGTCGTTAACACTTTTATCATTCGTGTATATATATATATATATATCGATTTACTGGTGCCATTCAAAAACGAACATCGTATAATGGTTTGTTATGGTTAAATCTGATAATATTTTGCTTCATCTCTTCACGCTGCATTTTCTGGTTTCTAGTTCATGCTTTGGATACATTATCTAATCAATGCGTTCAGGCGACGTAAATATTTCGTTCTCTGATGGAAACTGTTTTTTCTGCATCATACACACAGCGTTATGAGTACGGGGCTGGTGTTCTGCTTGGAGACGGAGGACATTGAAGCCGCTGTAGACAAGGCGGTGAAGGCTGGTGCGGAAGGTGACATGACCGAGGGTGAAGGCGCGTGGTTTGGTGGGCGAGTGGGCAAAGTCAAGGACCCCTACGGTATAGTCTGGCTCATCTGCGCTCCTGCTAAAAAGTGTGACGTGGAAGCTTAGAAACCGTCAGATCAAAATCATTGTTTTGTTTAATCAGTGGACAGTGGCGGAGTGACTCTTAGTCTAGGGTCTAGTAGTAGTAGTTGTAAAAACCGATGGAAACGGATTGATTATGTGTGGTGCTCCTAATTGCTAGTATTTTGAGAACCAAATGGCTGGGAACTACTTTTAAACCAAAATCACATTTAATGTTACATGCTGCATTTTATTTTACTCTTTTTTAGAATATGAAATATCTTGTAACCAAAGATGGCTAATGAAGGATCATAATCAAAACTTGTGTGTTAATTTACCTACATATTTTTTGGATATTTGTTTATCAGTAAAAATTAAAATAGATTGGAAAATTTGATGGAAATATCCAACCAATTCATTCTATAGCCATTTTTTAATTGGGGTGTCGATTTTGGGTTAAAGCAAACCAACCATTATATACCAATTTAATTGGTTGATAGGATTGTATCAACTATCAAAGTTTGGATGTATATGATATCAGAAGTCGTGTACGACACTAATACTCTATCAACTTATTTTTTAATCATTTATTGATTAAAATTTAATTAATAATACAATGTATTTTGTTTTTTAAAATTTTTATTATCTTATTTTCAAATTTATATATACTATTTTATTAATCAAATTTGATAAATGTCTTAAAGTCTTAAAAAAGTACAAAATCTAAAACACAAAGTACTTGTTTTTAAAAACACAAAAATACTTGTCTTTTAAGCTTTCCTCAAGATGACTTTTAAGCTTTTCCTACAGAAATAAATATTTATACCTATACTATCTTATAAACCAGATTTTTCAAAAGTCTTAAAAACAATTTTTAATGCACAAAGTACTATACACTTATGCATAAAGTCTTAAAAGTCTTAAAAACAACTCATAATGCATTAAATATTACCATTTTATACATTTAGTCTTAAAATCTCTTAATCTACATTAAAATAACATATAGTACAAGTTATCAATGCACATTATTACTTTTTCTTTTCATGTTCCTAATATACTTTTGACACAAACTCATGCCTTCACCTTCCCATACCTCTATGTTTTCTCCTCATCTCCCAAGGTAAGATTCAAATTGATATTCACCATGAGTTATTAAAAGTCTTCTCATTCATCTCTTATTTAATTGCTCTATAACTCTCGGTCTCGCTCTCTTGATTCTTTGCTTCTAGTGTAAATCGAACATATTTGTGGAGTCGTTTAAATATGTTGGATTTTAAATATATCGTTAAATTTTCTCTAATAAAACCAGTGAAACTTCAAAATCGTTAAAATTCATGACTTTCCACCGCATTGCGCGGATACACAACTAGTTAAATTATAATACAAATAGATATGTGGAACTTGATTGAATTCATTCGTTTAATCCTAATGACTTTGGTAACTCGTCCAAATCTCCACGATTCATCACCGCTTTGTTTAGATTACTAGTATATATTTGTATTGTATGAATATTATTTGAATGCTTGTCTATGTAAAGATAAGTGGTACAACACATGTTATTTGAATGCTTAGGGGTTTCAATGCATGTAGATTTAGTTGGTACCAAATATAGTTGATTTCTACATGGTATAATTTTTTATGTACCAATTATAGTTGGTTGAAACACAGCACACTGAAAAAAAAATGTTATCATACCATGTTCACCTCTATTTTTTTAAGCCAATTCCCAAAATAGCCGAGTTTTATGCATTTTCTCTTCTAAAAAAGAAAAAAAATGTGGTTTATGCAGATCGTTTAAACCACTTGGATAATGATAGTTATTTAATTACATTTTATATTTTTTATAATTAGTTATTTAAGTGCCGTTTACCAAACGCTTATCCGGGTAAGTGTTTACCAAGTTAAATTACCTCACCGGATGAATATGGTACGGACCAAGAATCTTATCCGGTAATAGTGAGACAGGGACCAAGAGTCTTACCCGGTAAGTGAGAGTGACGACTCTGACCACGGTAAGCGTTTACCGTGTAAATTGTTACATGCGATGTCGTTTTGGTGAACTAAAATCTTACCCGGTAAGTAAATATTAGTGTTAAATTTTACCGATAAACACTTGCTGAGTAAATATTTGGTAAACGGCCCCTTAGTTTACCTTGTATCTTTTTTTACATTATACATATATCATATTAACGTGCATAATTATATTTAAAATACATAAAAAAATAAGTTTTTTTTAATAAATTATATTATTATAATCGTTTCATCAATAATTTCAAAATGAGTTCGACATTAAATATTTTTAGATTTTAATTATATTATTAAATATTATCAGTGCATATGAATTATTTTTAACTAGAAAGGTATTCGCGCAATGCAGCGATATATATCTCGATTTTAATGTTTCATTTTATTCCGTATATATAAATGTTTTAATACGGTTTTTATGTGGTTTTGAGAAAAGGATAATTTTTTTTATTTTGAATAAAATATAAATTTGAAGATATCATAAAATTTTAAAAATAAATATATCAACATTATTATCAAACTAACTATTTAAATTTTTCTGTTTTTTGTGTAATTTTTTTAATTTATTTTTTATTATAATTTAACTTAGATTTAATAACAAAGTATTTTTTTAACAATATAATTTTTTATAAAGATAATAATTAAACATTTTATTAGAACTCAATAATTATCTTAATTATATTTTAGATTTTTTATATTTAAAATAGATGTCTATCCTGTATTTGATCATGTTTATCTATAGTTAGTTACACGAATTTCAAAATGAAGCTTTAATAAAATTACTTGTAATCTTAAATTTTAGATAATATGCATCAATAAACAGTACTTCATGCATAAAAAATAATTTTTAAAAGTTTTTGTCAAATGGTTTATAATATAGTATAAATTTATACCTTTATAAGCATGGTTGTAAAAAAAACTCCGATTTATATATATATATATATACACACACACACACACACACTATCTTATAAAGCATTTGGCGAAAACTCTTAAAAACTCTTAAACTCGTTCATCCCTAAACAATTTCATTCCTATCCGATTTCATCCCATATCTAAATTCGTGTAACTAATTGCATATAAACACAATCAAATACAGGATAAACATCTCATTTTAAATATAAA